TCCTGCTGAGCATGCAGATTAAATGCCACAAGGCTGACCTGTGGTAGAACGGGTGCTTCAAGGCCCAGAATGCCAAGGCTCTGCCAGTGGCACAAGGAGAAACACTTGACCAGCACAGACCATTTCTACTCGAAGCCACTGTGTCAAGGCCCACAAGGAGCAATCTCATCCATTCGTCTGCTGTGCCCAGCCACTCCTGCCAAGGGCAGCCCTCAGGGGAGCATGAGCCAGGGGAGGGCAGCAGGCATTAAGACCATGGCAGGCAGGAAGACAACCTTTTCTCTGATGATCTCAAAGCACTTTACAAAGCTGAGGAAGCCAGTGCAAAAAGGTGAAGTGATTGGCTGCAAGGTCAGGCTGCCAATCAGATCCGCACTCTGGATATCGCTGTCTCCAGAGAGGGAGAGGACCCCTTCAGTGTTAGACTTAGGGCAATACCTACCTGAGTTCTTCTTGAAGATGCTTCTTTTTTTCCTCCAGGTTCTTATTCTTAACCCACTGGGGGACATCAGGGACATACCAGGCTGCGATCAGCTTGATGCATAGAGCTACGTGCTGAAAAGAATCAAAGAGAGCCCACCATGCAATCAGGACCCATGTCTCTGGAGACTTGAGCTGCACTTAGTGGCTGAGCAGGGACAAGCAATCACTCCACAACAATGTTCAGCTGATTTACTGCTATCACATAAGTGATACATAATCTGGTCCAACTCCCACTGAAATCAATACAGAGACTCCTATTGACTTCAGTGGGAGATGGAGAGCTGCCATGAAACATACAGTATTGCCTCTGCGGAGTTGGAGTGGGGGAGGTTGTTTCTTCTGGCATGTGTGTCCCCCTCAAGCTATCAGGGGACTAAAACTGGCGCCCTTCTCACGCCAGTGCTGAGAAACGAGGGCCCCATATCGTGGCATGAGGTCTCCAAAGAGTCCCTTGTTTTGTTTGACTTTACCCCCGTCCCTGGCTGCATTTCACCGTCTCCTTTGAAATGCTGGCTTCGCCATGGTACTGTTACCAAGTGGGCCTTGTTACCAATGCAGCTCCCCTGTGCTGTGAGCTGCCCCAGCTAATGGCAGTGGTGTCTCCTTGGTACGGCAATGGCATTGCTTGAAGGGCTGAGGGCACAAGTGGACAAGGCTTTCCAGCAGGACAGAGCAGCGGATGCAAGGGCACTGGGGTGAGGGCAGGGGAGGGAAGAGAAGAGCAGGAGCGAGTGGTGTGGGCAAAGGCGGGAGTCAAGTCTGATGAGAGGTGAATGGATCAGGGGGCTGATGCAGCTGAGGAGGAAGGCTGTGAGCAGAGAGGAAGAAGGAAACTCCCTCAGTTCCCAGCTGGACTACCACAGAAGCAGCCTCTTCAGAGAGTCCTGCCACTAATGCATAAACCCTCACCCCTGCTGCCATACTGCTTTCCTGACAGAAATGTGTGATTCTCTTCCCCATCCAAATGCTATGGGAGGTTGCCTGGGCAGCCCTGGTGCTGCTGCCTGCTGAGGCCCCATTCATCACACTCACCTCAAATATAATCAGGAAGGCGAGTCGGGCTGCAAACACGTGCCAGAACTGCACAGAGTAACTGTAATCATCATTGTTCCTGTAGTCCCTGTACCTGAAGGACACAATGCATCAGCCCCATCTGCACAGCCCCTCAAACCCCATCCCTGGCCTGGTTATCATGGGCTTCACCCAGGGGTGATTCATGGGTTTGCATGATGGGGCAGCCCTGGTAGCTCATCCAGTCCCTTCCCCTGGCATCAATCCCACATTATTCCCTAAAGACTCTGTTCAGTTTATATATGAGTAAATTGGACAATAAGGCTTTCTCCACTGACTAACCCTTGCCCATGGGATAGATCAGTATAGGTCCTTTGACCCGCAAGGGTGTCACACCAGTTAATACTAGCGATGTATCTGGCCCTCTCTGAGAATGCAGAAAGGAAGTGTGTTAGGGCCAATTTAACAAGCAATTAGCTGCGTATTAGGAAGGATTACTGTCAAGCTATGAGAAAGCCTAAGGGTCAGCATTATGGAGCCACCATTACCTGCATTCTGTGATCTGCTTTTCAGCTAAGTCCTGCAGCTTCATATGCCATTCAAAGTCTCGAACGCGGAACACCGAGAGGCTGTGGTTGATGTAACCCGTCAAACAGCTGCAGAAAAGGAAAGAAAACAGTTATATACAGAGGCTTGCTCATGTCTCAGTGAGCTCATCCCAGCCAGGATACCCAGGTCAGACTTAGGAAAGATGGCAGACTTCTGGTCTCTTCCAGGCATTTCAACGAAGGGAAGGAACCTTGAGCCTGGTCCTGCTCTTGCTAAAGTCCATAGTAAGGACTTTAGCAAGAGCATGAACAAGACCTAAGAACTAGTTGTTATCAATAGTTAAAATCATGCCAATGGCTCCAGAAACCTACACAGCACTTCTTAAGCAGAGTACCCAAATCTGACAGCCACTCAGCATCCACAATACCTGTTGGAGTCCATGGAGGTTGAAAGCATTCATTAACCCGCAGGATGTGCTCAGTACCCGACCTGATTGGGCTTATGAATCAAGAAATATTTCCAGCCGTGACAGTCACAGATGATTCATAGATGTTTGGGTTGGAAGGGACCTTAGCAGATCATTGAGTCCAACCCCCTGCCCTGGGCAGGAAAGAGTACTGGGGTCAGATGACCCCAGCCAGGTGCATGTCTAGTAGGGGTGTGCAAAGCAGGCCCTATTCAATTCGGATTTGGATTCGGCCTGAATCAGGGACAGTGATTCGATTAGTTGATTCAGATCATTGTCACTGATTCAATTCGGCCAAATCCAAATATGAAGATTCAATGCTGATTCAGAGAATCAGTGATTCGGCCATAGATACAGCTTTAAATGTTTTTTCTATATACCTCGAGGTACCAGTGTGGTTCCTGATCATTGCAATGCTGGGGCACATGGAGCATTCCACAGGAGCATGGGGGGGCCCTCCATGTGCTCGGCAGCAAACCTGGGTCCATCAGGGAGCACCCCCGCCCCCCCTCCGGCTCAGCAATTGGCCACGAGGGGAGCCCGGGTGCCACCCCAGACCCAGGAGGCACCAGTTGCTGAGCCAGGGAGGAACGGGGGGTGGGGCTCCAGCACGCTTCCCAGCAGACCCACTTCCGGTCCACTTCTGGGTCTGCTGCTGAGTGTGCTGGGGAGCCCCCCGCACTTCTGTGGGACACTCCATGCACCCCAACATCGCAGCATTCATGAGCTGCCTACTACCTTGATGTATGTAGAAAAAACATATGCCTATGTCTGAATCACCAAATTTTTCTGAATCTCTCCAAATTGATTCAGAGGGTTCCAATTCAATTTGAAGAAATTAAAAGGTCCTTTGATTTGATTCGGAGATTCAGCCACTGAATTGGGCCGAATGTCCACCAAATCGAGTCAGGGACCAAAGCTTCACATTGCCCTAATGTCTAGCTTCCTCCTAAAGACCCCCAAGGTAGGGGAGAGCACCACCTTCCTTGGAAGCCTGTTCCAGATTTTGGCAACCCTTACCATAAAGAAGTTCTTCCTGATGTCTAACTTAAATCTGCTCTCTGTCAGTTTGTGGCCGTTGTTCCTAGTTACTCCAAGGGGTCCCAGGTAAATAGAGCATCTCTTATTCCTTGCTGGCCTCCCCCGATGAATTGGAAGGCGGCCACAAGATCACCTCTCAGCCTTCTCTTGCAGAGGCTGAAGAGATCCAGGGCCCTCCATCTCTCCTTGTAGGGTTTTGCCTGCAGGCCCCTAGCCATATGAGTGGCCCTCCTCTGAACTCTCTCAAGGTTGTCCACAACAGAGCTGATCACACATGATGCTAAGCATCCTCACCTCCAGTAAAGCCAGTGGGGACTGAGCATGCACAGTGTAGTACAGGATCCCACCTTTTAGAGAAACCAGGCAAAACATGGAAGGACAGGTCATGGAAGGGAAAGGAAAGAAGAATTGTCAGTGAGAGGGGAGTGAGACCGAGAAACTTCCATTCTGGGATTAATCCACTGATTTACTGCTTGACCAAGTATCATGCAATTAAAATGTAATCAAATATTGACTTTGCATACAGAGAATTGGCTCATGCTGTAGGAAGTAGGAAAGCAATCAGAGTGAAAAATTGTACTGTGCTTATTCATGCAGTGCTACATAATTACAAAATGTAAAAGTCTCCTTATAGATTTTTAGATGGATTCTTTTAGTTTCCACTCTTGACTCAAGCATTCTTCTGCACAGCCACAATGGGCAGTAGCCACTGAATGGCAGTCATCATGCATCTTTCTTTTGTGGCGCGTGTTTGTATGGCACAGATCCCTAATCATTGTGTTCCTTTCAGATAAAGCAGAAAAAAACCACTCGGTAGATTTGCTCCACCCTGAGCAAATGAGATGGGGAAAGAATATTGGCTGCAGTTCTTGCTCTTCCCACTGGACGGCACTACTTCACCAGCTGCCAAGTGGCTGTTCTTTATTGTCCACTGCTGCTGGTTTGCCCGTTGCCCGGTGACGTTAGTAAGACAGCTTGGAAAATGATGCAGCCTGACTCAGACAGGTTCCTCTTAATGTTGAGAGCTTAGATTAATTGTTCCCTTCCTACAAGTGCCACAGCAGATGAGGAAAAACAGAGATAAGGGTAGTAGCAAAGATCCTACTCTTCCTGTCCAGCTTTGCCATCCAGCAGCCCAGGGACAGAATGGCTTTGTCCCAGAGCAGCGTACATGGACATGATGATGTAAAGCTTACTCGATGTTGGTGTCATTCCCCAGAGTGCAAGGGCTGTATGTATACTTGTAGACCTGCAAGGGGATAAAGTCAGAGGTGATGGCGATCACTAAGCCATTGCCGATGACAGACAAAATGCCAATGGCCTCCAGAACCTGCAGCCAGATTCCTGTAAGAAGAGAGGACATTAGAGTTATGGCCAGTTGGGGGCATCAACTCTGGGGCACAGGGCACTACCTGCCAGCTAGAAATCTAAGGGAATTTTGCCACTGTTGTGAATGGAAAGAGGACAGGGCTTGGCAAGGCAAAATCAGTGGAATAGGGGTCTGTGGGGCACAGCCAATATGTCTCAGCACAGCAGCTCAGTGTGGGGGCAGAGGGCACTAAGGTTGAGATTTACTGAGCACTACATCCTAACCAACAAAGTGGGCAGATGGGCCATCAGGAAACTCCAGGCAAAGTTGTGGCTTACAAAACAGGGGATGGGCTGTGTGGTTCAGACTGAGCCAAAGTGTGTATCCGTGCCTCTCTGATGTTACCCTGGCAAAGCACCTCTGTCTTGATCTGCAACCCCACCCGCAATGTTGCTCTCCCCTCCAGCTCTTCTAGGGTACCCCTGTTCTCTGAGCCCGCCCTGGAATAGCACTTATGGGCAGACAACATCATGATTTAGATAAGGAATGTGTGGCAGCATTTCATGTCACTTATAGCAACACCAGGGCCAGCCCACAATTTTTTGGGGCCCCCTGCAAGAAATAGCTCTGGGACTCCCTGATGTGAAGAAGTCAGTGGTGGGGGGCAGGGTGTGGTGAGCAGCCAAAGAAGCTGGCGGCAGTGGCGGTGGCAGTGGCGGAGAGGGATGTGGGGGATAGCAAATGGCTGGACGTGAAGCCGGTGTTGGTAGCATCAGTGGCAGGGGTGGGGGTGGCCAGTGGCCAGATGTGAGGCCAGTGGCAGTGGTGTCAGTGGCGGGGGGGGTGGTGAGTGGCCGGACACCAGGGGTCCCTTGGCTACAGGGCCCCCTGCGGCCACTGGTTTTGCAGGATAGGATAGGCCAGCCCTGGGCAACACATACACAAACTGGCTCTCTTTAGTGTTGAGCACATGCTCTGACCAGTGAGCTCCCCCTTGTCCCTATCTCACCGATGTCCTTGGCTTTCCTAGGCACCGTGCGTCTCTGCAGCCTCACCATCTTGATGGCATCCAGACGGATCTCAATGATGTTGTTGAAGAACGCCAGCAGTGGGGCAAGGGGGAAGGCAGCCACAAAGATGGTGGTAAAGCTGTACTGGATCACTGACAATGGGAGAAATGCCATGCTATGAGAGAGGAATCCAGCAATAGAGGAGAGGGCCTTGTGTTTCCTATATTTGACATGTCAGGTAATGGCATGACCTGGGTTGGCCTTGCAAGGGTGAAGGGTGAAATGTACCATCTTCCATTTCCCCCGGTGACCTGTTTTCATCATAGAAGGAGATCAAGAGCTCTCTGCCCCCCATACAGGTGAGTAGTTAGAGAGGGTCAAACTCTAGTGCTGGCCAGCTCAGCTGGTCAGGGTGGTAGTATAGGTTAGTGGTCACACCAGTACCAGTATGTTATGACAGCCACGAATAGGGCACAGTTGGGAAGGATAGGAATTGCCACTCCTTGGGCATAAATTGGTCAATTTATGCTCGTTGGACATAAATTGCTCAGGGATCCTCCTGGGGAGCTCAGCTCAAGGGACAATCTACCCCTCAGTGTGCGAGGATCACCAAGCAGCCGGGAAACTGGACCCAGTTTCTCCTGCCCCTGCCCTGGACACGGCAGGTTCTGCACAAGAATAGGCTGCTGAGTGAAGAAGTTGCAGGGGTCCTTTCCTTCCTCACCCATCTCTCAGACATGGACACAGATTCATCGAGCCTGACAGCATTCCACAAGCTGCACGACGAGACTGAAGCTCTGACCCCACCCCACTAACACAGAATCATAGAAAAGTAGGGCCTGAAGGGTGTTTAGAAGGTCCAACCCCCTGCTCCATGCAGAATCATCTCTAAGTCATCCCAGCCAAATGGTTGTTTAACCTGCTCTTATCAATGAGGGTTGCTGCTACTACTCACAGGAGCTCCATCCCTGACAGCTGCATGGTTAAGAACTACCCCTCACACCACGCTGTCAAGAATTGGAGCCTTCTAAGAGGAGCACTGTCACAGGGCATTTACATCACCCTGAGAGAAACTGACCCCCAAGCGCTGAGATGCTGGGAATGACTGTGCATATGTCCAAGACCCAAAACTGAGAACTACATTTTCTCTGCAGCCCAGTGTCACTTACTCATTTCCAAGAACTCATTAAATAAGCTGAAGACGTTGACTTCATTCAGCTGGTAGTTTCTCAGCCACTGCTCCTTGCAAGGGTCCTCAGCTTCCTGCTCCACCTGGACTTTACTTTTTGCATTCACCCGCAGCTTTCTCATCTTGTAGGCAATCCAGCTGGAGGGACAGGGGTATGAGGGATGAGGGATGTGAGCTAAGACTCCAATTCTGTGTTTACCTGAGCTGCTGTGGAATGGCTTCCTCTTGGGCGCCAAATTGAAGGCCTGAGCCAGAGGTTTTTTTAAATGCAGTGTACTAACTTCATGCATGCATGTGCACCCCCTCCCCCCCGTCCCTCAAATGCACATGGACAAATTCCTTCTCCCAAGTTTATCACTTTATACCAGGGTGGTTTTACCAACAATAGAGAGGTAACGTCCCTCAATAAGATGATCCAGTAACTCTAGTTCACAAAGAACTCAGCTGTGGACTGAAGCCTCCTGTTGATGAGCAGGTACTTGTGTGACTAGGCCTGCTGGGCTGGTGGGAGGTGGAGTGGGGAATGAAAGATCTCCTTTGGTGTAGCTGCTAATGGGTGGGAGATCTGCCTTGGAGTTTGGGGGATAGTTTACAAAGGATATGCTAAGAAGCTACAAAATCCATTCCAACATCCAAAGAAAATCTCTCTTTTAAATTTTGAGTTTTTAGAGAAGGTTCAAGATGCCAGATTGACAGCTATCTGTGGGATAAGCTATTCAGTGGAAGTAGTTTATGTCTGTGACTTGATCTATTTGTTCCTTCCTTCTCTTGTTTTTGTGAACAGATCTGAGCTGAATTCTTTGTAGGGACTTTGTTGGGCAACTCATTCTGTATTCAGAATGAACTATTGCAATCACCTTTGTCACAGGATCTCACTTCTGATCCCTGATCAGATGGTCTAACCGTTCTAAACTACTTCTGCTTCTTCCTGAAGCAAATGTCATTTCATCGTGAGAGGATTTCAGGATTGAACTAACGTCACTGTCTGGCCTCACATTCGTTTTCCCTAAGGAGACCTCCCATGAGTTCCACTTTCTGTAGAATATCTGACTCAGACACACAAGAGCCTCTATGGATGCCCAGGACATGCTGACTTACGGGGAGATGTATTCTACCACGTTGCTCAAAGTCTGCTTTAGGATCATTATGGTAGCCATCTGGATAAAGAGGTCAGTTATGCATCCACTAGGGTGGCACTGCAAAGAGGAGAGAGACTAAGAGTCATACTGCACAAAAAAACTGGCCTGGCTTGAGGCCTGGGAGGGAGGTTGCTAGATGTTGTAGCGGAAAGCCCCCTTTGTACATTTCCCTTCCGGACATGGATATAACAGAACCCCCTTCTTGCCTGCACCTCCCCACTCCTATTTTGTGCATTCCTTATCCTTCTCAGTATTGGCAGAGACCTAGCACACTCATTGCATGCGTGTGGCAAGACTCAGAGCCAGCCAGAAAGCTGAAGTGGCTTTCTGTAGGAGAAACCTAGAAACTGCATCTACATATCAATTAAGCTCAGTGTCATTACAGAAAACAAAAGAATTAAAATATCCCCTGCAAAGACTGTAAATATATACTGTGATAACCTAACTCACTTACTATACCCAGTAGCCTTTGATCCTCACTACCTCACATTGCATTTTTATATATGTCTCACAGTGCATTTTCATATTTCATCTGTTTCATCTTTATATTTTATACTTTTAAACTCTTAAGGAATGTACTCCCTGTAGAATGAAGTTACATGCTGGACCATTGTTAAAACTGGATTGAAACTGTAATTGTAAAGTGATAAAATCTGTTGAGTGAATGCGAGTGAATGATGATCATCAGTAGACAATAGCCTAGCCAAAGGAACTCCATTTTAAGCTAATCAAGGTAAAGAACTGATTCCTGGAACTGAGCGCTCACCCTATGTACTATTCCTATAACCCACGACAATACAGCCATTAAGTCAATAAGTCAAGGGTGGACTCCCAAAACTTCAGGTACCAGCAGGCAGAGACCCCTGTGACTAACAGCTGTCAGGTACTACTCAAGACCCACGCGGGACAGCAACCTTCGGATTGGGTAGCCAAGATGATGCTGGGGGATTACACAAGTCTGCCAGAAAGGGATAAAAGGCAGTGAAGTGTGACCCGCAGTGGCACCCTCTCATCCAGCATCTGACCTACCGAGACAGAAGGACAAGCAGGCGACCCCCTTCTAGAGAAGACATCACCTTGAAGGAAGCTGACAATCAACAGCAAACTCCAGGGCCTCGGATAGGTAGATGTACTGACGCCAGTGCTCACAATCACTGCAGCAGCCACTACACGCTATACTACATGGGTTTGAATGAGTGAGTGCATGTGTGTGTGTACGTGCTAAGGTCACCAGTAACGCCCATAACTCAAAGCTTGCATTTATGATTTTATTGGTAACTTCACATCCCACCCAAAAAACTAGAATTTATTATGATCCTGTGAGTTTGTCCTTTGTAGCCAACAATGTACCTTAGCCAGGAAGAAACTAAAGTGATGGAAAGGGTATGCTGGATAGAAGAAAGCAAAGGGTCTTACAGAGACAGTGCCAGGTAGAAGGGAGGGGCAGCAGGAGAGAGACAGAGTGGACATTAGCACCAAAGGGCAGCAGAGCTTTATAGGAACATCACTTACCTCTTCCAGCCTCCATTTGCCAGCTACACGCACGTAATTCCCGGGTCGGCCATTAATCCTGACCAGGAAAGTATAGTTAAATATACCAGAACCTGGTGCTGAGAGCCCTTCACCCTGCATGCACTGGACTGTGAGGCTAATGCTTCCCCTGCCGCCCCCCTCCCGAGGATTAGAGAGGCAGAGTTAAGAACACCAACCCAACAGGAAACCACAAGATGGACAAGCAGAGGGAGGCGGAGAACTATTCTCAGGAGTTAAATCTTGTCCCCACTGATCTCAACAGCAAAAGTCCTGTTGACTTCAGTGGGGCCAGCATCCCCACAATGAATCAATGTGGGAGCACTCACATTCCCTCTGTCTTTACTAGCTGTCCATGCCCCTCCTGCCAGCACAGCCACTCCCATGAGCTTGACGGTATTCTCCAGGAGCAGAGCAGGCACACAGGGTCCAGACCATACCATTGTTGCTGTGAACATTGCCAATGTACACAAGCCAGCGTGGATTATACTCACCTCCCCAGGAAGAAGGCAACGTAGATCAGCGAGGAGAAGTGGGTGAAGAACTGGAAGGTGAAGATTTTCACTGTGAAGTTGTTTTCACGCTTAGAGAATGTCCGCGGCTTTTCTGGAAACAGGAGGGCAGGTGAGCATGTGGGTCATGGAAGCAGAAGCTTCCTTCTGTCCTTGAGAGGCTCCCATGGCACGTCAGAGTGGAGCCTTCCTTGCAACATGGTCAGGGATTTGGAAAGGTTTTATCTAACACTGATCTCCTGAAATTCATATCCCCTTCCTACAGATCCCCAACTGTCCCAAGGCATCAGCACAACAACCAGTGCAGATCTGGCCTCTAGGAGGAGGCTCCTCAAGTTGGCTGTGCATAGGGTTCTACTTGAGGCTAGAGCAGAAGCTAGCACTCATGAGGGCAGGATGGATACCGTGGTGTGAAGGAGACAGAGACACATGCAGCCATCATGTGGGTTGTAATCTGGCTTCTCACCAGGGACTATCTAACCTTTATTAAAGACCCCCAACTACTGCCTGTCTAGTGGGTGTAGAAGACCAGAACTCTGTGATCACTCCACATATCCCTTTCTTTACAAAGAACAAGATTAGATTACAGCTCATTATAAATGATTAACAACAAATGATAGCCCTTAAAACTACTTGCACTGCTATACCAACCAACCAACATACACACCTAAAACTATAAATGGATGCTCAAAGGTCAAGTCTGCAGAGGTCTGCTTGGTCTTCCAGACCTTGTTCTAAACTCTTTATAGCTCCTGTCTAACAGCCTTCTGATTCACTTCCTTGAGGAGGCGATTCATTTTCATGCTCTGCCCCTGTTCCTTTTGGTGGTTGATCCTTTTTATGTTGAGGTAGAATATACTGAAGAGGAACCCAACCAGCCTTTTGGAGTCCCCACTAAGTAAGCCCAGGGGTGCTTGCCATATTTTCAACAGTTCCAAGCAGTTGGAAACTTTTGAGCCAACCTCTCTCCCCTGGCAGCAGGTCTGATAGTGGTTTTGCTCTGTATCAAATATTGAAATTTTTTTGCTGCAGCAGTTTTTGTTCAGCGTCTTGTTTCTTAAATTCCTGTAGGTTGGGCCATCTAGGGTTAAGCTGCACTGGTGCCATAGGTAATAGCATCCTAACTTCTTGTCCCATGAACCGTTCAGCCAGGGAGAATCCTGATGCCAATGGTGTAGATCGATATCTCAGGAGTGCTGGATATGGATCATTGTATGTACACAGAAGCTGTTTCAGAGTCTGTACTGCTCTGTCAGCTTCTCTGTTGCTCTAACGATAGTGAGGACTGCTAGTGTGATGCTTAAAATCTAAGTTCTCTGCAAACTAGGAGTAATTCAGTGGTAAACTGAGTTCCATTGTCCAGTATGAGGACCTCAGGAACACCATGCATTGCAAAAGATAGAACTCAGTTTTTAGATGACCTGTGCCCATGACATCTGTATAAGTAAATCTAAGTCAACATACCTGGAAAAATAATCAAGTGCAATAGCATATGTGTGTTCTTTTCATTCCTATCTGCTGCTAAGGTCTATCTGGTATCATAGTAAAAAGTAATGGCTTGAGAGAGAGTCTTTTTTCTTTGTTGTATTCCTTACCGCCCACTAAAATTTGAATTTACTCAACCTGGACCAGTATATAAATTGCTATGCTCTTGCCCTGCATTTGTTTTTCCCCTGGTGTCTTTCATGGATCTTCAAAAGCATTTCTTCCTGAGGCACCTGAGGGATCACAAAGCATCTTCCTTTAAGGAGCAGACCATCGGTTATGTGGAGGTCATTTCAGCCCTGCCAACATGGTTGTAGGTCTTTTGGAAGTTGCATCCTGTGGCCCCATCCATTTTGATAGAAATAAACTAGTTTCTGGCAAATGTCATCCTTCCATTGCTCATTTCTATTTTACTCAAATCTAGTAGCAGTTATTTCCATACCCAGCAACAATCTTATGGTAGATACATCCTGAAGTTCAGGTGAGGCATGCAATGTCTGTATTGTGTTTGGATCTGGCTGAATTCCATTTTTGCTGATATTATGTCCAACAAATTTTATTTGTTCTTTTCCAAACGCATACCCTCTGCACAGTCTGTACTAGGGGGACTGTAATAAAGGATGGACAGTCTGTGGTGGGGAGCCAGATTACAACCTATACTATGGTTGCACGTGCCTCCCTCACACCATAGATACCACATACTAAGCACATATTTCAGTATTTCTCTTGCAGCTGCACACATTAGTTTCCTATTCAGAACTGGATTACAGTCAAAGTGCTAACTTTGCTTTCTGGAGACCCCAGTGACTGTGGGGTGCTGGTTTTCGTAAGGTAGGATTTGATAATAGCCTTCAAATACAAAATGGGTTGCTACAAATAGACAAGCTATTCTCTGGATTCACAGGGGACTGGACAAGAAGTAACAGACTTCATTTGCAACAGTAAAAATCTAGGTTGGATATTAGGAAGCAGTTTCTAACTCCAAGGGTGACTAAGCACTGGAACAAATTGTTAAGAGAGGTAGTGAAATTTGCACCGCTTGGAAGTTTTTAAACACAAATTAGACAAACATTTGTCCATGATCATTTAGATAGGGCTGATCTTGCCTTGAGCAGAATGTTGCTATGAGATCAAACTCATGCTTCTGTAGGGAGGGTTTTTTATGAATCCACAAATAAATGCTGTTCAAATGAGTGCCAGCTGGCTGTGCTGGTGGTATCTACAGTGAATATATCACAGGGTTCCCCTTACCCAGGTCACAGAGGAAGAGTGCCACACATCTGTTCACCTGCAAAGGAGGAGGGAGAACAAAATGAAAGACCAGTGATAGGACAGAGGGGTGGATGGCAGAAAGGAGAGGAGAGACCCCATCCCATGATGCACCATACCTTGGTCATGATGACAATGGTCATGTAATGCAACACAGCCCCAGTCAACACCGCCAGTGTGTTGGCCCATTCTCGTATTAAGTCAGAGTCACTCTGGCTGAAGATCACGGTGGCCACCACACGGTATATGACAAGCGCGTGAGCGATCCCTATCAGCACGATTATCTGTAGGTTGGAGGTGTCATTAGAACCTGGGAGAGATTAGATCCAGGAGTCGGCAGAACATGTTGCTGGGGGAATGGAGAGGAGGTGATAAAGCAGTTGGGGGAAGCTGACCAAACAGAGTAGATGTGGGGAAATGACTGGGTGTATGTGCTAGAAACTGGCTTTTGCCACACCAGGTGCTGCCTCCCTTCCACTCCAGTGTGAGTCTATAATACTGTACAAGATCCTGATTTATCCAAAGAGGAAAATTATGCTCAGCAGCAGTACACATTTCCTACACAGTTACTGTACTACCCTGTAAGTGTGCTTGGCTTGTGCCCCAGTGGGCTAATAGGATAGCTCATTGCCCATGTCCACACAGTCTGTGCCAGGTAATGCCAACTCTGATGTGGGTCCTCGTGTTTTAGGCCTATTTGATTGCCTTGGACACATGGGCATATGCCCACTACATTACTTAGAGCTACCACTCAGTGAAGCGGTGAGAGAAAACAAGAGCACCAACTGATTATGTGGGACAAAAAATGAAAAAAGGAGAGTGCATACGGACTAGACGTTCAAAAATAGTGTACCCTTGGGGGACACCAAGCAAAGCACCCCAGACAGCGCCCACTGACTCTCAATGGTGGCCAAAGAGCCAGCAGCTACTGCCCAGTGGTGCTCCGCTCAGAGACAGGAACGGAGGAGACCCAGGAAAATGGCCCTGCAGTTCCCAGGGACCCTCCTGGCCAGAGCCTCCTTCCTGGTGAGATAAATGGCCAGCTTGGCCAGGGCCAGAAGGAGGTTGAACAGGAGATCCCAGGGCTTGGTGAGGCCATGGATGGGGTGTGCAAAAATAAATAAGTGTGGGGAAAAGTGCAGTCAGAACCTCAATAAGAGGTTGGGGTGGGCATAAATGTGCCAGATACATGCCTGTGGTGATGGCTCCATGGAGAAGCCTCCAGCTGAGGTCCCTGGTGGCACACGGGATCAAGGTAGAGTACAAGCTAGGCCACTGGGTCCTTGTGTTTTAGGAGCTAGATTGAAAGCACCAAGTAATTTTGCACTGAATGGTTGCTGTGTGGCTCACAGTGAAGACTTTGGGTTTCTACCACCTTGGTTCTGAACCTAACTGGCTACTTGGGAAGGCCTAGCCGATCACCAAGCTCCTGAGATAATTAGTCACCCTGCAATTGCTTCTCTATGGCATTCCCATTGCAAGTGAGACAGCCATCCAAAAGAGATACAAGCCGCATGCATGATTTCTCCTATAGCTTAATGTTGTAAACATCCATAGGCATTTGGAAATGGCTAGCTAGGCAACAGTAATAGCACCTACTGTAAGCAGGACCAGGAGGAGCACGATCATACTGCGGAAATAAGAGTGCTGATACTTCTGGAGATCATATTCTGGGTTATTGATAAGCTCCAAGGCCAGCTCCTCCTGAGGACAAAGGAAAAGAATGAATATTGAAGTCATGCACTAGGGGCATTGGTAGCAATGTTTTCAGCTGGCAAGCCAAAATGACCCAGCTCAGGTTGGAGACAGGCTAGCAACTGGGCCCAGCTGCTGCCACCACTACTGCTGCTGCTTCTCTCCACTGTCCAGCTACGGTGTGGGCAAAGCTCCCACTATTACAAAAGTCCTGCCCCCTCCCCCTTCACCCCCCAGCTCTGTGGGCTGGATCTGGCCCATGGGCCATAGGTTGCCAAAACCTGCTTTAGGAGAATGCAAGGCATGGGGCAACATAAGGTACTGCACCTTATGTCAATGAAAATGAAAGCATGGGACATCATGATAGGTACCAGCAGGTAGAAGAGAAACAGGACTCTATTGTGGTGAACCCAAAAGGAACTAACTTGCAGTGTTGAGCTTGGACTTTCTCTCTCTCGCTGGCCTAGGCTGTGTTTATACAGCTTTCACAGTGCACCTTAGAGCATTCCTGAGCAGCGTATCCTGCCACAGGCTCCTGCCCTGCATATGCCAAACATGGAAATGGAGCTGTGAAACCACCCTGAGGCAACCCCAGCTTCTGCTCTCAAGCTGCCTCTCGCTGGGGTGCTTGAGACCAGAGGCAGGAAGCACCCTCAGGATGGCTTCCCCACCTCATTTTCTGGGTTTGGTTCTCATAGAGCAGGATCCCAGTAGTGCTCTAAGAAGTGCAGCAGAAGTCATACAAGCAAATCCATGGAGTCTCCAGATAACTTGGCCAGGCTCACATGTTCCTGGAAATCACTCTGGCTTATATTGTGGGCCTACAGGGCTGTTGCTTTATGTCAGAAGTGACAGCACAGTTAATTGTGGTGTGCATCTGGGAGGGAAGATCTGCATCTAAAGGCACAGCAAGGAGAACATTTCTTGAGACTTGCCTTTCTCTCCTAAAAATCTCAAGAAGATCTGAGGTCCCCACTCCTCCCACTGTGCTCCACTGGACCCTGTTAGGAATCCAGCAGGATGACACTTCCCTCCCTGTCCCATACTGCAAACTAGGAGCCCAGCTCCAAGCGTCATTTCAGCAGTGCCTTTCTACTCCATTTGCCAGCACACAGCTAGATTTTTACCTTGGTCCTGTCAAGAAAGATGACAGCACAGGGAGGGAGCAAGGAGAGAAGAAGACAGTGAAGAAGAGAACCTCATTCTCACCTCATCTTCATCCCAGCCATACAGTTCCCAGCCACTAACCACTTCAGCCCTCTTTCTCTTCCACAGTTCCAGGAACAAAGTGGCTGCAGGTGTAATTATAAAATAGCATGCTCAGAAAGGGTGTCATAGACCAGAGACACCTCCTCCCCTTGGAGACATGGGCATTGTGGAGCATTTACAAGAGCACCCATGTCCTCCCTGCAGGCTAGAAGTGGGAAGGCCTCCTGAGCAGACTGGAAATCAGGTTAAATGCCCAGAATAAAAGGTCACCTGGACCCCCCAGTAGATGAGCCCACCAGTGAGAGAATTGGGACCATGGGGACAATCTAGAATGAGGTTCCCAGATGGGGCTGAGTGGGCTCCCACAACATGGTGGCCAATCCTCTCCTTTGTGTAACAGACTCCCATTCACAGGTTACCCCTCATCTTTGCTCTGGAAGGGACCTTCCCCTACTGGCAAAGTATTCTATGGTCTGCCCTGCAGCAGCTACAGGGCAGTGAGTACAGTCTGGGATAGCAGTGGGGGAAATGGAGATGCATGAGGTTTATGTTGTGACTCTGGGCTGCAATATTGACAAGAAAGCCCCTGGTATAAACTAGAGGAAACAGTTCTGACTTACAGGCCTTATGTACATGGAGACACTCAGAAAAATTAATCTGAATTGACTTTTAGAGTGGAATGATTAAATTGAATCAATTCCTCTGGGTGGATGATCTTATTAAGAATACTAATGGCTTTAATTCGAGTTAGCTTACCTGGCTATACAAAGTGAAACAAACTAAATGGAATTAGAGCCATTTTCATGCTGGGTAAAAGTCTGCACCCCAGGGGCCTAATCCTGTTTAAATAATCCTGTTAATTTGGCACCTTTAGTTAATTCAGGTTTATTTTCCTGAGTCTTTCCCTTGAAATAGGCCCACAGCAAATTCTGAAACCACCTCTTCAATTTCCATCCAGGCCATTCGAACTGGATTATGTGCCTAGAGGCTATTGCCATTGGAGCATTTAAAGCCCACAGAGAGATGGTCCACCAAACTCATCCTACACTGCTTCACTGTGATATGGTATACGCACCCTTATACAGCAGTAGCCCAGAAAGGGTTAAGGGTGGGCTTGATTGCCTCTTTCTGGGCCCATCTACAGGAGATGCTACATTGCCGTAGGGACAAGCTATGTTGCTGCAGCTCATCGCTATGGCAATATGGCATCTCAAAATAACTGTGTGCTGCTGGGACTGCGCAGTACAACATAAGGTGGGTACTGCTAAAACAAGTCCTAAATGACTGCAGTACCAAATGTGCAGTCAGGGGCATGTGTAGATGTGCCCTTTGTGACCATTTACTTGGACAGAAACATCTGCTATAAGGCCACGTCTAGACAAGACACTGACTGAGCAGTTGTTACTGCACAGTCAGCGTTTCATGTAGACGTGGCCTAAAAGACTCAGGCAAAATGGTGGCAGCAGATGGAGGGATGGCAGGCTGCTTTGAGAGAGATGGCAGAGCTACAAGCTGAAAAGCAATGGAGAGGGAAAAAGCTGCCCAGTTAAGAAGGTAGGTAGTGGCCTGAGAAAGCAGCAGTTTTCTGATGCTTATTACAGGCTCCTTGGGCTGGACTACAGAGGACGTGGGTGGGCTTGGATAACACTATCTTTGCTTCCCTGCAGGAGGGGTATCAATGGCCATGGACACAATGGTGCTAAGGACTCATGAGTGAGGAGAGGCCCAAGGTGGAATATATGGTCCTCTGGGATTTGGGTTGTGAGCCTGAGCTGTTATGTGAGATGGGTGAATCACTAGGTGGTAGAGACAGGATGTGTCATGAGTGAGACAAGGAGTGCTTATACCACAGCTGGCTGTGATGAAGGTCAGTGATGCACCACAGATAGTGATGGAGGCCTCTGAAGCCTGCCCCGTGGCTGTCAGATGGGAACATCTACATCTGGATTTCAAATACTGATGTAAAGTTGAAGGTATCACCATAACTAATCTCTCAGAATTTCACCAATTCCCTTTCCCTGGTAAAATGAGCAGGTGGTCCTGGTAAAATAACACCAGCCCTCGAGGCAAAAAGGATGTTATTAGGCTCTGAATGAACTACTGTAGAATCCAGGTTGCCATCAAACCATGACTGTAGATTGTTCAAAACCTTATTATAAGAGCTGCTGAAACCTACCCCACAGAGCCATGAATATTGCGAATACAACAGTCCCCTCATTGTCAAGCAGGTGAGTGACCTGGAAAAGAAGAGACCAAGGAAAAAGGGATCATGAAAGAGCTGGGCACCAGCAGAGCAGACCATTTCCAAAAGATGGAAGAGGTATGTGTCTTACAGAAGGGACTCAGGCCCACGTGGGACAGCAGAGCATCAGGCCTCTGCAGCCCAGCCACAGACTGGCCACAAAGGTTAAGGATATCCTAGGTGGGATAGAAAGAGCCAAGCTGAGGGATCCTTGCAGCCTATCCTGAGCCTGGAGAGCCCTTGCCTCTCAGAAAAAAAGAGCCAACAAATATGGCTGTAATTCCCTCATGTATGGCAGGGGGCTGGTGAATACTAGTAAGATCTCTTTGGGCACATAGCTTTAAGGCACTGGTTGATCTTGGATTACAACACTGGGGTCCAAGCACAGCAGCAATTGGCAAAAAGGACATGTAGACAGCATTTACATACCTTGGCATAAGTACAAGTGTCAGACAGGTGCCAGAATGGGCACTTCTGGTCACAGAGTGGGCACATGATGGTGGTGTTGGCTTCACAAATCTCTTTGCTGTAACAGGAAAGCACATAAGGAGCAAATCAATTGCTTTTCTACCCAACCCATCATTTGTTTGTTCTATACATCCATTACATCCATCAGCCAAAGGAGAGATTGCAGGGTCATTTCCCAACTAATGGCCAGAATAAAGCTTTATGTGTAGCTCTCAGATACTAATGCCAGGGGGATCTTCCCCTTGACAAGCCTCCTCAGAGAGGAGTCCACAAATCCCCACATGGAAATGTGGATACACTTGACCATCTGTTGCCCATTGCCTAAAATCTACTCCTTCCATCCAGAGCAGATGTGCTATTAGTTACAGTGAGCCAAACTCTTTATGGGGCTGTATCCTTGCACATTCAAGGTGAACTCAATAGGAGCCATATGACTACAGGTCTTGGACCATTCAGATAACCACCATGGAGCTGGAGGGTTGCTGCAATGTTTCTGATGGAGATCTATTTATTCCATTAAGTGGAGCTATCATTAAAGCCAATGACTTTGCAAACCCTCTGCATGCAGAACTCACATAGCAGACATAAGCAGTTCCATGCTCATAGGATTTATCTCCAGTAGTGAATGCCATGATATACACAATAGGTAAATTTCTGAAGAATGCCTTGCATTCAAAATTTTGGCTAACTACATACCAACTATGCAGTTGGTCTAATAAAAGACATCACCCACAAAAATCCTTACCTCCTGAATTTCTCTAGTCACACATACCTCTGTATGTTTGGGCACACAGGCTCATGTGCTTGACATGCCTAGGTCTATGCACACAGTAACCTCTTGTTGCACTTGCCTGACTTGACTGGAATTGAAATAAATGATTCCATATATGAAGAGGAGCAGGCCTGGAAGAGCAGCTAGAGCCAGGATGTAGGTGTACCAGCCCAGCCAGGCAAAATACAGAGCCACCTTCTCCCCAAAATAGGACCTGAAAGACAAGGCCAGAGCTGAAAACCAGTCTTTGCAAAGATTTCATCTAGCACTAGACTGGCAAATGTTGGGAAAGTTAACTGTAAAATGTCCTTTGGAAATGTTCTTCCCACTTGGATCTTTCCTTTGGAATTTCCATCAAGATCAAGTATGCTGTTCAATGCCCAAGAATTTCCACAGTGAGGACAGATTTGACATACAACTGATTTATAAACAGTTTGGGAAAGGGGAATGAGCTGTAAGATGCCACCATTTCCTGAAAACACAAGAACTTTATCAGTGGAGTCAAACCAGAAAAGAACTCAAGGGGCTTCAGAAGGATGACATTAATTTAAGAGAATGGGCAACACTGCTGCAGATGAAGTTTGGTACTGACAAGTGCAAAGTGTTGAACAATGGAGGGGATAATTGGAACTATTCTTACATGAGTTTTAAATAATTTTCTGACAACATAGAGAAGATTTGGGGATTGCTGTGAATAGTTTAGGGAAGACCACTATTCAATGTGTAATAATGATCTAAAAGTAAAAAAGATGGTTGAGACTGGAAAGAGGGAATAATATAGGCATTATCTATGTGGCTTCTTCTGTAACTGTTCAGTACAGGTCACCCTATTCAAAAGTGATATTCAGAAAGTGTTCAGAACTGGCTGATGAGAGTGATTAGGGGCTTGAAAAAACCTGGTGATGGAAAAATGGAAAAGACAGGAATGCATATCTTAAAGAAAAGATAAATGAGAAAGGGTCAAAGGTTACTGGAAGAAATCTCAAAAGATCATCTAGCTTATCCCCGTACGCTGAGGCAGGATCAATATACCTAGGTCATCAAGAAGAGATGTTTATCTAACATGTTTTTAAATATCTCCAGGGAATGAGATTCCACAACCTCCCTAGGTAGCTTGTTACATAATTTCATTACTCTAGTTGTTTTTCCTAATGTCCAACCTAAATCTTCTCTGATACAACCTTAAGCTGAGTTCTCATTCTCCCAGTAGCCACACAGAACAGTTGGTCACTGTCCTAGTAGCATTTTACACTTTTGAAAACTGTTATCATGTCCCTTGCCAGTCTTCTTTTTTATAAACGAAACAAACCCAACTCAGAATATATCTACATCAGAAATTTAGAAAATTAATATTTATCTGCCCTTGGTTCCTGTCAAAAATGACAGAAAGCAAGGGCAGTAGGATGCAGGGGAAGCTGGGCCAGCTCCCACAACAGCAGGGCCCATCCGGCCCTGACCCCCCACCGGAAGCCCCAGCAGGGGCTTCTGGCCCAGGACCACATGGCTGCCCCAGCCAGAACCTCAGGTAAGGGGGAAGGGAGGGGGAGGGGGGGAAAGGCAGGGAAGGAGCCCAGGAAAAAGTGGCTTGGGGAAAAGCTGAGCACAGGGGGGGAAAAGCAGCCCCTCCCCTGCCCCATGGCCGGCGCCTCGCACTGCAGCTACTCTCAGCCCACATGGGGCTGCCTGTGCCTGCTCCAGACAGCCCCGCATGGGTTGTGAACGCCTGTAGCAGGGAGCGCCAGCCACGAGGTGGGCAAGGGGTTGCTTTTCCCCTCCCATGCTCAGCTTTTCCCCAGGCTCCTTCACGGAGCAGGGAAAAGCAGCCCCTCCCCCACCCTACCCCGTGCTGCAGGTGCTCACAGCCCATGTGGAGCTGCCTGTGTCTGCTCCAGACAGCCCCACGTGGGCAGCTGCAGTTCAGGGCACTGGCCACAGGGTGGGCAAGGGGCTGCTTTTCCCCACCCCACGCTCAGCACCACATTGTAACCTGGCCCCACTGCCAGCCTGGGCCCCGCACCAGCTCCAGACTTGCCCGTCAGGTCTGCGTGTGGTGACAGCAGCTGCGGCCCCCGCACTTGCCGCACTGGGCAGTGTTTGCCACTGCTGCCTCTGGGCTGCCCAGCATGTGAGCTCCGGGTGGCCCGCAGCCGCCA